AGAAATTAGTCACGGTCTTGGACTTTCTCTAGCTATGGATAAAAAGACAGTCTTACCTGTAATCGCTTGGTAGCTTGGCCCAAAGACCTTTCTACTGCTTTAATGCCATTTTCCAATCTCAGACTCTGCTGGCCCTGAATATCAATTTCTCCCTTCACCTTCTCGATCTTTTCCTTGACTTCTTCTTCATTCACTTGGGACTCTTGAACTTCCCGCTGCAGCTTCTCTGCTTCAAGGCCACTCTCCATGTTATGGATCTGAGACACGTAGTCCTTGAGCTTGCTCTCGCACTCCAGGATCCTCTGCCTCATTTCCTGCAGCTGCTCCATCAGCTGCTTTTCGTTCTCCTGTTCAATCTGCAGCTCATTTTCCCAGAACTCTTCCTCCTCTATCTCCACTTCGTTCCGTTTGATCTTCTGCTCCAGTTTGAGGATTTCTTCTTCCAGGCTGGCGTTGTACTTTTGCTCCCAGTAGCGGATCTCGGCTTCGTTGGATTCCAGCTGCTTCTCGATGCTCTGAAGCTTCTCCGTCTGGAGGTGGATCAGTTTCTTCAACTCGTCCGCTGTTGTTTTACAGTTGTTGAGCACCTTTTGCTTGAACTCTGATTCCTTGCTCTTCCCGAAGATGTCCATTAGCCCCTTGGCGCCGCCGGTGAAGGTGAGGGATTTCCTTTTCGGCTCCCTCCTCTTCATGGCCTTGTCCCCGGGCGGCCTCAGCTTGGCCAGGGGCGGCAAGCTCTGCCGGTACAGAGTCCTCTCGGGGATGCGCGCCACGCTGTCCGACGTGGGCCGCTCGCTCAGGGAGGGCCCGGTGCGCCGCAGGATCAGCTGCACATCGCTGGCGTACTGTCCCCACTTGTTGAGGGACACGATGGGGTTCTCGTGCGGCGCCAGGTGCCGCTCCGTGTCCCGCCACTTCTCGATCAGCGTGTAGCGCCCGGTGCGGCCTGCAAGGGAGCACAGCGTCAGCGCGGCCGCGGGGGGGCGCCACCGCGCCGCCCGTGAGGGACGGCCCCGGGGGGACGGGGCCGGGACAGCACCGGGACACGGGGGGACAGTGGCGGGACGGCCCCGGGACAGCACCGGGACAGCACCGGGACACGGGGGGGACAGTGCCAGGACGGCCCCGGGATAGCACCGGGACACGGGGGGGCAGTGCCAGAACAGCACCGGGAAACGGGGGACCGGCACCGGGATACGGGGGAACAGTGCCGGGACAGCATCGGGACGCGGGGGACAGTGGCGGAACGGCCCCGGGACAGCATCGGGACACGGGGGGGACAGCACCGGGACAGGACCCTCCCGCCCCGCACAGGCTGTTTTAGCGCACCCGCCCCTGTCGCAGCACACGCTGCCTCACTCGCGGTGCCCGCACATCACCGAGTTCGCCTCTAAGCCCGCCCCGGGCAGCGGTGAAGAAGGATCCACACCGTGAGAAGCGGCGGAACTGCGCAACGCCGGGGCTGCCGGCAGGTGGGAGGGACTGAGATTCACGGAATCGCAGAGTTTAGGTCCATTCCAACCCCCTGCCAGGGGCAGGGACACCTGCCACTACCCCAGGTTGCTCAGAGCCCCATCCAACCTGACTTTGGACACTTCCAAAGATGGGGCAGCCACAGCTTCTCTGGGCAACCTGTGCCAGGGCCTCACCACCCTCACAGGGAAGAATAAAGCAAGCGACCCAGCAGTGTTGTTAACCACTACATAAATACACCCAATGCGAAGAAAACAAGAACAGGAGTCCCCGATCTTTCATACAGCCATGCAGAAATATCAAATGTGGAGGCAGCAGTGTGTTTGCTGTTACACTTCCATCAGTCAGAGGCAGCTGTTAATGACTGACACAGCCTCAGGTCCCCTGTTCATGCCCTCCAGTTCGCTCAGACACTGGTCCAGCCTGGCCCACAGCCCGTGGTGCCTGTGGCAGCGCTGCTGATGTGACAAAAACCTTCGCTGAGGAGAGCACAGGCTGCCTGAACTGCGAACGAGCAATGGGGCTCCCTGCACAATCTCATCGTCTGCACCAGCGGCTCCCACATCCCCACTGGGGTAACCCAGCCTTCAGGGAGAAGCTCGAGTCCTTTTGTTAAGTGTTGAGAGTTTTTCTGAGCGTTCTATTGACAATACAACTTATGTTCGTGGCTTCATTTGTGTTCTTATCGAGCACACTTAAATTCAGCTCAGCAGCCCTCCTCCTCCAACACCCCTTAATGGGATATTTTTCTAAGCACTCTCACTACTCTAAAATACAGCATTCTCCCACTCCAGAAGAGTTTCCCCTATCAAAGTAACCTCACTTAAAAGCCACAACATTATTTACAAAAAGATGGGAAAGATCAACTGCTTTTAAAGCATTTGATGCTAATGAATTTCTGAACAGCTCCACCATTGCCGTTAACTTTAAAAACATCATTAGCTACTTTAATACATTACCTACATTCATTTTCATGAGAAATGATCATTCAAATGATTTATTTCAGCCCATAAAAGCCTGAAATACCTGTCATATATGCAGCTACAGGGGGGAGGAGCTGGAAGAAATGTAGTTATCAGTGGTAATGCATTCAGTGTGTTCTCTTACTTACACTATCTGCCCAATAATCACATTTTTCTCTCACAAAAACATACTAATCCCAGGCTGGAGATGTGCCCCCGATCTCCAGCCACAACACTCATATGAACTCCTCACTTCTGATTTGTAGGAAACAAGCTGCATTGTGGTGATGAACACACCATGCACCCCTCTAAAATCAGACAGTGCCTTCTAAAGAGCTTCCTGAGCTACAACTACTGCATTGGAAATGTTCCTCTGCTCTCACTTTCTCCCAGTTAGCTCCCAAAGCAAAGAACAAAAATTGTCTGCAGAGGCACCACCTGGAGAAGGGGTGGCTTTGGCTCAGGGTCATCCCAGAGGGATTGGCTGGCCCAGTCAGAGACCAAAATGTCCATGTTCACTTCCAAGTTAGGGCTGAAAGATTTGGCTGATGGAAGTCAGCAAAACACGGCAGGAAGCATGAGAACAGCACTCCACCACCCCAAACGCTGTATAAATAAATGACACAGGGTAGGAAGTGGGCAAAAACTCCCAAACCTGTCAGCATACTACCATACTTGGCTAATACTCTCAGAAACAGATTTAAGGTTTATTCTAATAAAGTTCTACAAAATCAAGTTTATAAAGTTATATGGTACAAATTGAGAGATTTTTGCTAACTCACAATATTGCTAATTAATACATGAAGATTGATAGTTTTCTATATAGTTAGATATATAGTTTTGTAAGATTTATAGTAGGCATTGGTGTTGTTACAGAAAAAATAAACCTACTACTGTTTGCCATAGCATATGAACAATAAATCCTGGAGAAGAAATATTTAGTAAAAACATAGCCCAGGACAAAGGCTGCACTTCACTGCTCTGTTTTGTTCATCTTAGAAGCTTCCAGCTTGTAATCATGGTTGTGCTACTAATGCTCATGTTGTGTCAGAAACAGTAAAGTTCAAAGAAGTCCTGAAATTGCCAACTGGTGTAGGTACCACTAGGGGAGCGAGCAGAGTGCAGTTTCTATTCACTCTGCTATTAAATTCATTACTTAAAAAGATGTAACAGGAGACAAAAGGAAAAAAAAGGAAAAGAAAAAGGAGGGGAGAGGAGAGGAAAATAAGGCTTTAACAACCTTGACCAAAAGTGAATTAAAGAATTAAGCACAGACTTGCCAAGAACTATTTTCATCTTAGCTTAGAGTTCCAAATCAACACACAGCCCTAAATAATGAACTCAGCACTCAAGATCCACATAAAAGAAAGTGTTTTGTAGAAGTAATACTTGCACAGTTCAACAACCACACCTGGAGCTCAGGACTGCTCTAAAACAAAGCTGTTCTCTTCCGAGATCATTACCCAGGTCTAGTGCTCAGCCTGTGCATGACGCAGATTAACAATACCCAGACAACCACAACTGTGATGTTTGCCTGCATTAGAGGGGATTAATTCACAAATGAAAGGGTGAATGAGTTAATTCAGAACTAATGACAGAGCATTTCAGAACACAGGCGTCCCTGTAGCAAACTGCTGGTTTTGATGTGCAGCCACCTCTGAGAAGGAGAAAGCAGCTTGCCCAGGTTGTTGACAAGGAACAGTTTGACACCTGCATGCTGCTTCTTGCCCTGTGTTGTCCACAAGCTTCTGGACACAAAAAGCACCTGGCAGAACTCAGTCCACCTTCATTCATGCCACCTTATTATTTTCAAAATTAAGTTACAGAGGCATTCAGGTAATGGCCATGTATCAGCAATGTATGGCATTCCTTAAATTACAATGTGTTTCTCCCAGCTGAATATTATATTGAATTCCACCCAGAATTTTGTAGTATCTCCAGGGAAGGTTCAGTGACCAGTTCAGCAGTGAATACCCCTAAAACCTCTGAAATAAGACTTTACTTTAACTGCAACTAGAACATAATGGACCTTTTTTTTTAAATACTTCTATCAAAGCCTTGTATTGATGAGAACGGTAAAGAAAACCATCCAGACAGGCCCAAAAAAGCACAAGCAGCACTGTGTTCTTTCTGTGGCTTCCTCTTCAGAAAATAGGAATTCAAGGGCTGGAGAAAGCACAGAGTCTCTGCACCCTATTTCAGGTCCAGTTACTTCATGGGCAGCAGGGAAAAGGAGTTGCTGCTCCACATGCTGAGACTCCCCTGCAGGGCTGCACCCAGCCCTGGGCCAGCACAGCAAGGACAGGGAGCTGCTGGAGCCAGAACAGAGCTGGGACACCAAAGGATCAGAGGGATGGAGCAGCTCTGCTGGGAGGAAAGGCTCAGGGAATTGGGATTGTTCAGCCTGGAGAGGAGAAGGCTTTGGGGTGACCTCACTGTGGCCTTCCAGTGCCTGAAGGGAACCCACAGGAAAGATGGAGAGAGACTCTTGACAAGGGCCTGGAGTGACAGGACAAGGGGCAATGGCTTCACACTGACAGAGAACAGGTTTAGATTGGATACTGGGAAAATATTGTTCCCTGTGAGGGTGGTGAAGCCCTGGCACAGGTTTCCCAGAGAAGCTGTGGCTGCCCCATCCCTGGCAGTGTCCAAGGCCAGGCTGGATGGGGCTCTGAGCAACCTGGGATAGTGGCAGGTGTCCCTGCCCATGGCAAGGGGAGGGAATGGGATGATCTTTAGAGTCCCTTCCAACCCAGGCCACTCTGTGATTATTACAGGGTCCCCAGGATGGGGAGACCCTACATGTACCATATGGTATTACCATCTCCAAACAATCACCAAGAATTTGTACCTGTTTTGCAGAGAGCAAATGACAAGAAACAACAGAAGCAGCTAAATATTTACATCCCTAAAGCATACTGCATCTGCACAAAGAGCAGTGTCAAGGTTAGGTTTCCAACTACAGTTCCCTAAGCACAAAAACTTATCATAGGTTCTATTAATATAAGAACACCTTCAAAAGAATAATTTATTTCAAAATTGAGAAACATCAGAAAAGGAAATACATAGACTCCAGAATGCTGATGTTCTGACAGCCTGCAATTAGCTGTCTTGAGTGGTTTGAACCTGGATTTCCTGTGACATTAAGTGTCAAACTGCACTCTGTCTCCTCAGTCTGGCTCTGCTGCACAGCCAAACAAACTCTGGACCCAAGTGTCCAGCCACTGTAGTCTTAGCTTGGGATTGATGCAATTTGCTAATTTAAACACAGATTCCATCACAATGAACAGTGATTAAACTAATGAAATACAGATACAAGGTAATGAACGTTTTTTTAGACTCTCAAGAGGCAGATTTTTAAGTTATACTCCATGAAGGAAGTAGGACAACATTACTCACTTTAAGCTCCTCTATATGCTTTAATATTTGCAGCTGACACAGTAGACAGAGCAACCATTTCTGGTGCCAAAAGTGAAAATGAAACTCCAAAGGAAAGCAGCAGTAGCAACAC